TATATTTCCAATAGATAATTATCATGGCATTGTATCTAACATGTATATGTCTAATAGATAATTATCATGGTATTGTATCTAACATGTATATTTCCAATAGATAATTATCAAGGTATTGTATCTAACATGTATATTTCTAATAGATAATTATCACGGTATTGTATCTAATATGTATATTTCCAATAGATAATTATCACGGTATTGTATCTAACATGTATATTTCCAATAGATAATTATGATGGTATTGTATCTAACATGTATATTTCCAATAGATAATTATCACGGTATTGTATCTAACATGTATATTTCCAATAGATAATTATGATGGTATTGTATCTAACATGTATATTTCAAATGGAAAATGATAACGGTATTTAATTTTCTTTTGCCTAAAACTAATCTTCAAAATAACTTTAACATACAAAATTATGTTATCATACTAGCAGAAGTATAATGGTTTAAAAAAAAAGAAAAAAATAGGTAGCTTAAAAGCTCTGGGTAGGGCTTGATAATTATAGTTAAAACATACCACAAGACCCCCAGTGGCACAGCGGTATTTCTGCGGACTTACAACGCTAAAAACCGGGTTTCGATACCCGTGGTGGGCAGAGCACAGATAGCCCATTGTGTAGCTTTGTGCTTAGTCACAAACAAACATATCACAAACTTTGATGCTCAACTAAGCCTAATGATATTAAATAATATACTTTTCTACTGAGGAACATAATAAAACATAATTATTATTATTATTTAGTCAAAGAAATTTACTTAAGTACATTTTTCCTCAAACCCAAACTGATATAATAATTAAAATATATCAGTATATAATTATATTATGTGATCAGTTTCACTACTTAATTGTATTTTCCAGGAATCAAATATTTTTTCGTATAAAAAGATGTGGGCTGTAATGCAGGCGCAACCGTCGGTTTTCACTGAGTCAAATCAACAAGGTGTCGAAAGAGTTCTCAAAGGAAATTATGCTTATCTAATGGAATCTACATCCATTGAGTACATGACGGAGAGAAACTGTGAATTAGAGCAAATAGGTGGACTATTAGATTCAAAGGGCTACGGGATAGCAACTCCAGAAGGTATGGAAGCTATTTAGATTATGTGACTTTACATGTCTTATAGCTAAAATTTGTTGGCTTCGGAAAAAACAAAATGGCCCGGCATGGCCAGGTGGATAAGGCGCTCGACTCACAATCTGAGGGTCGCGGGTTCGAATCCGCATC